TGTCGGTTCATGAGGCCAATGGATGACGGAATAAACCTGCTTTCCGATCACTATTACTGTAACTGGTGTCAATATGTTGTATCAATCGTTTTTGTTAATAATGTTTTGAACATTAGTATTACATATGAATATGTGGTAAATGCACACTATTGGCATCTCAATATTTGTTTCTCGATTTTCTTTCTTGGCCCCTCCACCTCTGCTCACCCTTCTCGATTCTTAGGTATTGAAAGGAATAAAAATAATCGACATTTCACTATGGAGATGTTATCTTGTGCTTGGAAGCTATGCTCCGAGGACTTTTCCACCCATATATATTCTTTGAAACCGTATAAATATAACAGAGGCATTCTTAAATATCCACTCGGATTGCTTTCCTTGTAAACATGAATGAATGACCATCTTTTTATCTCTACTGGTATTATGTTAAACATTTCAGCTTGTTTTTCATCTTGGCTTTGTAGGAGATATTACATCCGTCTCATTAGAAAGGTTAATGACAAGAAAGGGGTAGAGGGTCAGAGAAGAGACTAGAAAAGCTTTTGATTTTATGTTCAACTACACTGGTAAATGTTTTCCCTCAATCTCATCGCCCCGTTTCTTATAGGTCATTATATAACAGCTTTGGTTTTACTTTTTACTTTTTGAGATGTTTGTTTGGTGCAGAGGCCAACGTGAGAGAGTTAATTGATCTAAACTTGGTCGAGATTTAGTGAGGGGCTTCTGCGAAACTGGATGTCCTAAAGTTTACTGGCCTAGAATGTCTTGGCAATTAGCATGTATACATAAAGACAGAAGCAGATTATGTTTTGGCTTAGAAGCACTTCATAATTGTTTTTTTGCTGATCATATTTGAATAACCTAATTTTCTTATATGTTGTTTAATTTTTTTGGGCATTATTTGGTGGACCTAGCAATGGTATATTTCAAATTTGTTTCAACTAGTTAAAGTCACCCTGCCAAATATGTGCATGGGAACTGAAAGTAGTCTTCAGTTACGTTTTACATGTATTTAGAGCTTTCTGCTAGTAGCCTTCTCCTGTAAGATGTGTTGCTGGAAGATTTCTGTTATTTGAAGTCCTTATTTATTGTTATAAATGTTTTCCTAAGATAATGTCCTCTTTCCGTAATACTGTTTACGGATATTAAGGTTTGAAAATATACTTGGGGCAAAGGAAGGGGAAAAGATATCCGTGGTCTATATTCAGAATAACAAAATGGTGCTTTCTTCCCACTAACTTAACCAATTCCAATTATTTACTGACAGAAGCAGACATAGAATCTGGCCCTGTATGGATGGAGTACATAGCCTTTTCAAAGGGTAGAGGCTCTCCCTGGTATGTGGTCCTTTTCTTTCATTATTTTAGTATATTTTTCAAAATGCATTTACTATTGCCTCCACATCTCACCTTTTAATTGCAACCTTAACCTTTTTTTTTTTTTTTAAAAGGACTTTGTATAAGCATCCTCAAAGTCCTGCTGCAAAGAAGAAAAAGTGTTGTTTTGTACTATGAAATTATATGGCTATAAAAGTGTGGATGTGACCTGCAGAATCAAATTTTTTCTGATGTCTTTATAGTGGCGTTTTCTTGATCGTATTTTTTCTGATGTCCTTAAGAGTTTCATTTTCTTTATTGTAGTTTATCGTTACCTTTTGTCTTGATAAGGACCCAAAGGTGCCACAATTTTCTCCTTTCTTTATGCGATAATTACTCGAGGTCAATTCTATTTTATTTTTATACCGTAGGTCATGAGATTATATTATCTACAGAATCATGTGCCTGGTGGTTATTTCTATTCATTCTGCTTCCCTACATTTGCCGACAAATTTTGCATGTTTATGCGTGCATGGTTAGATATGTAATTCTATGTAATTTTATAACTTGGAATTGTGTGTGTATGCTGAAAGAATGAGCAAGGAGATGTCTGTTATTAATTTGCAATTGATGTTCCACAAAAGTTGGTGCTGGTCTTCCCTATTAGTCTGAGAATGCATGTTCACACCATCAACACCCTTCTCGCCCTTGTTGTGTCATTCATGGGGTCCACTCAATGTAAAATTGTTCTGATTTTTAACAGCTGATAATGCCAAAAAGATATACTGTTGGCAAATAGACTTTGAACCACTGCATGATAACTGCTCAATTATTTAGATAGCGAACAATGTTTTTGAAGCAGGACTAAAGCGATTCATGCATGAACCTTTTTACATTCTAGAGTGAGTTCTTCGACCGGCTCAACAATCCTTTTCCTATTGCACTTTGTTGATTACTCTTATGTTTTGTGGCAACTAGTTTGTTATATTATTAGCGCTATCATTTGAAAAAGGACATCCTGTAAGGACTTTCCTCCACCCTCTTCTATCTTTGGGCACGGCCCCTAAGTGTCCCCTTTGTGCCATATGCTGCAACGCATTCTAGTTAGTCCGTGCCTTGGTGGTTTGTTTATTTGATTTCTCTTTGGTGAGTGACAGCACATGGTAAGTGCACAAGATTCTTTTTTTTTTTGTGGGTAGTGACCGCTATTTGTCGGTAATGATTGCTTTTATATGGAGATTTTTAATTAGTTAGTTTTCTTTGTTGTAGTAGGGTCTGTCGTAATACATTTTGCTGGTACTTGTACAGGCTTTTTTGGCCATGTGTGCTGATGTCTTGGGTGTTAAACTGTGCAGTCTCAAAATTGTTTTCTGAAGTGTTGCTAGAATTATAGGAACATCACTGGTTGTTTTGTCTACATGAATCATGGATTTATTATACATGACCTGGTAAATCTTGAGCTCTTCATATGGCAACCAAAGTTGCTTAAAACATCCAGCAATGTTGGTGTCTGTTTAAGGTGCTTACAAAATGAAATACCTCAAGATCCTTTACTTCTTGTTGCTTTATGTTTTTGTTGAATCTTTCTGAAAAATTTATTACTGCTACTGTTCTGATTTTATACAGTGATCGACTGTGGTGATTGATGTTCTTGATAATTTAGCTATGGAGATTTCTTGGCACGTTTGAATGATGAGCAAAATATACGGGCTTTGTTTGAACGGGCTTTAAGTTCACTTACATCTGATGAATCAGTTGAGATATGCCTGGCACCAACTTTTTCTCTTGCTCTTTTGTGAAATTTACCAACAATGGAGGAAACCAAGCATGTGCATATTGTGTTCCCTATCCCCCCCAGAAAAAACAAGAAGAACATTTCTCATGCACTAATAAATGCTTATGTTGTGTTTGCCCCCTTACCAGAAGTAAGTATTTTTCTAAATAAATGCTGTAAATGTTTACTCCATTCTAGGCCTGATTGGTAAAGAATCTAAGAATTATAGGTAATGTGGGACCTAAAAAAACACTACTGCTGTGCGATAAAATGCTCAAGTGTTGTTTTGGCTCCTGTGGAAATAATTGTTTTCCTTAAGAAATACTGCTTACTGTGCACTCCATTTAATGCCTAATGGCTTTGGTGCTTACCATTTCTTTGGCGAATGTTTGAAGATGAAGACCTCCAAATCATGGGATATGGAGATTCCACTGGGGAATGTATTTGAGGCTTGATTGAAGTTTCTCTAACGTTGGGATTTTGTTAAATTACTTTTTTTAATGACTATTTGTATGACTATCTTCATTAAATTGATACGTGGTATAGGTGAGGCTGCCTAGTGGAGGGTCTTTATTGTCGAAAATTTTGGTATGAATTTAATGATCACGTGATCAAGGGTCTCTTTGTTGCTGGCAACCATTCGATAGCCACATGTATAAAAACTTTTGCATTTTTCTTTTTGCAACACTTGTGAGCAATATGGGACCTTGTTATTTAGGAAGGCATGACATTTTCCATATTCTTGTCAGTTTGACGCGTTGTTCTTTTTCACTTGTAATTTATGCTATTATCTAGCTTTGTATGGCTATCAGGTGTTGCTTACAGACTTCAATGTGATTGTGGTTGTAGCATACCTGCAATTCCAATGTGGCTGTTAAATATTTCTATCTGCAGGTCTGGAAAAAGTTCACCCAGTTTGAGCAAAGTTACGGAGACCTTGCGAGCATGTTGATGGTGAGCACATTAGCTTTTGGGTACGTACATATCATGTCACAATTAGGTTTTTATCAAATTTCTACTTTTCCACGATATTTTTGATTTCTTCTTGTACACTTGGCGGTTGGTTGGCTTTTTGGGGAATAGTATGTTTGTCGAAAATCCACTACTAGGATACATTATGACTTTGTAAAGAGAGGGCTGAAGATCACCTGAAGCTGATTTTTAAACTAAGTCCAATGGCCTTATGCTTCATTATTGTAAAGTAAATCCATGTATTCAAAGCAAAGTTTTCTCCTATATATTCCGCAATAATAGTTGGAAACAAGATCTTGCGGGATGGCAAGAAAATGTAAACTAGTCATGAAGTTTAAGCCGGTCGCCATCCGCTTTGATTTACTAGATATTTTGTTATTTCCATCGTTATCTAGTATGTCTACTTTATTTTATTACCCTGCTATTGGAGGCTGTGTAGGTCTCTGTGAAAAAGTTTATTGATTTGCATTTGAGTATTATGGTAGGTTGAAGAAAGAAGAAAAGAAGCACTCTCTGGACCAGGTGAAGATGGAACATCAGCAGTAGAGAGCTCTCTGCGGGATGTTGTATCACGGTATGGTTTCATGGAGCTTTGGCCACGCTCTAAGGATCTTGATCATTTAGCTCGGGAGGAGGTACTAGCTATTTTTATTTTATTTTTTAAAACACAGTTTTAACCCTTCATGGATAAGATTTATATTTTGTTTGTTTTACAAACTTTTAAGATTCTAAAACGACATGAATAATATTATAAGAAAAACGGGAGATTATTGAAAAAAATTGTTGCTATATCCATTATTAAAAATATCTTTACAAATCATACTGTTGCGTTTCGTTGGTTACTGGTGTGGCAATTTAATTCTTTTGAAATAAAATATAATAATTTATTTACTCACTAACGTTTAAATCTGAGAGAATATTTGTATTTTTTTTCCTGCCAACAGAATATTTGTATTTTATACTATAATTCTTCTTAACATTGGGGAATTATTATTTCTCCAAAAATAATCTAGAAAAATAAATATATTTCATGTTATCAAGCACTGGAAGATATTATTTTAAATAAAACAACGTTGTGTGATTCCAAACACTGCATAAGTGTGTGATTGATCATGTCTTTTTTTTTTTTTTTTGGGAAGGGGGCAATTATTCTGTGACAAACTAACCTCTAACACTTTTGTTAAACTGAGATTTGCTACAAATTTATTAAACTTGAGAATATAGATATATCATGTAAAATTTAAAGAAATTGCGCCAAAAAACTGAGGCTTCGGAATTTTATCAACTCTCATCCTCTCGGCCCTTTGATAAAAGAAAGCAATTATGCCAAAAAAAAAAACAGCTTGTCAATCTTCATTCTTCGGCATAGAAACACAGTCTGGCCCAAAATCAGCCAGTTCATCATTGACCCCAAAAACCCTGTCTTCGGCTGAAAACTAGCCTGTCAATTTTGCCTCTTCATAATTAAAACGAACTTCCTTATGGCTTGCAATCATTGGCCCAAACGAACAGCTGTCAATCATTGGCCCAAAAGTAGCTTGTTATTCATCGGCCGGGAGAGCGGCTTGTCAATCATTGTCCAGAGAACGGCTGTTTATCGTTGGCCCAAACAAACAGCTGTCACTCATGGCCCAAAACCAGCTTGTTGTTATTGGCCCGAAAAACAGCTTATCAATACTTGTCCGGAAAACGGCTGTCAGTCGTTGGCCCAAACAAATAGCTGTCTTCATTGGCCCAAAAAACAGCATGCCAAGCATTGTCCGGAAAACAGGTTGGCCCAAACAAACAGCTGCCATTACGCCTCTAGGTCATTAACCTAAAGCTTGTAATCTTCGGCCCAAAAAACAGCTGGCAATCTTCGGCCCAAGAAAACAGCTGTCCATCAGGCCTCTTTATAATTTTTCCCCATCTCCTCCCCCCGCAGTGCTTACTTTTAAACAAGGGGTTTTATTGCGCGCTTTTTTCTTGGCAGGAGAGAGAGACGCAAAAATATGGAAAAATTTTTTTACTAGAAAAAAATTATTGTTGTTTGATTTATTGTATTTTGTCTCAAACTCATGATTCAGCGCCAAGCGCAATCATTTTTTTTTAATTAAATTTTCGTTTTATTATTGTTTCTCATTGCTATTTCTATATTTTCAATAGGAAAATAAAATTATTTTGCACAATGAAGAATATCTTCACAAAATAATTTTCTGCGTTTCGTTGGTTATTATGATGATTTTGCTTGGAACTGTCAAGGTCTTGGAACTACCTTGACGGTTCGGAATCTAAAGTTCCAATGTCGTAAGTACAAACCAAAGCTTGTTTTTCTATCAGAAACAAAAATGAGAAGAGAGAAGATTGAGAAGGTACGAAGAAAATGTGGCTTTGATTGTGGAATCTATTTTGATCCTGTTGGAAGATCAGGCGGTCTGGCTTTGTGGTGGAATAGTGATACTCATGTTGAAATCGGGGTGGTAAGTCGTTATATAATTCACCTTGATTCTCTAGTTATCTATAATGTTAATTATGGTGCTGTTACTCTGGTTTATGGCCCTCAAGCAATCAATCAAAAACTACATTGGTGGAGGTCTATAGAACTTTTGAATCCTGGTGAAGATGTTCCTTGGATGATTTGTGGTGACTTTAATGAATTACTGTATCAATCTGATAAGGAGGGAGGCAGAGATTGCTCCTTGTATGACCTTGACAGATTCAGTGCTTTATGACAAAGTGTAACATGTTTGAGGTTGAAGCAAAAGGATGCAATTTCACTTGGATGAATAACAGAGAATTGGGGGCGTTCATTAGAGAAAGGCTTGATAGAGCAATAGCTAATATTAGTTGGGGAGAGACCTTTCACAAAGGTCATTATGCAGTACTGGAGCCAATAGGATCTGATCATAGCCCAATTCTGATTTGTTATGATGTGTATGAAGGAAAAAGTCCCCATCTTTTCAGATTTGATAGGCGCTGGTTCAGTCATCCCCAATTTATGCAGATTATAAAAGAGAATTGGAAGCTAAATCCTGAGGAGGGACATGTTAAAGACTTTGTTCAGAATCTTCTTTCCCTGAGAGAGATGCTAAAATGCTGGAACAAGAAGGAATTTGGAAACACACAGAAGCTGATTCAGAAATTAATGCAAAAGATCCAAATTCTGTTGAGTGGCCCTTGGTCTGCGGAAATAGCAAGTGAAATCGCTATGCTGAAATCAAAAGTGGCAGACTTATGGAATCAAGAGGAGATTTACTGGGAGCAGAAGTCAAGAATTGATTGGCTCAAATGTGGTGACAATAATACTAAGTTCTTTCACATGTCTACAATCCAGAGGCGATGTCGTAATAGGATAACTTGCTTAAAAACAGGGTCTAGTGAATGGATTGAAAACGAGGAAGAAATTGGGAACTATTTTGCTGAGTTCTACAATGAGCTTTTCTCTCACTCTGGGTCTAGGAATTTTGATGAAGCACTTTGCTGCTTAGAAGCAGTTATAACAGAAGAAGAGAACAAAATCTTAATGGCTGAGATCTCAGAAACAGAGGTTAAAAAGGCTGTTTTCGAACTGGGGGGTTCTAAGGCCCCAGGACCGGATGGATTCACTGGAGTCTTCTATCAAAGATGCTGGGATATTGTGGGAAACCAGGTTTGCTCTCTCATCAGAAAGTTTTCAATTCTGGTTTCATGCTCCATGATTTAAATAACACTGATTTAGTCTTGATCCCAAAAGTAGAATGCCCTGAAACTGTAAATGATTACAGACCCATAAGCTTATGTAACTTCTCTTACAAGGTTTTTTCAAAAGTCATCTCAAATAGACTAAAGCCTCTCATGGACAAGCTCATTGCTCAAAACCAAAGAGCTTTTGTTCCGGGAAGATTTATTCAGGATAATATCATTATTGTGCATGAAACATTCCATCATATGAAATCAAAAAAGACTGGCACTTGTGAAGTGGCTCTGAAATTAGATATGAATAAAGCATATGATAGGATTGAGTGGGATTTTCTACAAGCCCTCTTATTGAAACTTGGTTTCTCTAGAGCATGGGTGGATAGAATCATGTGGTGTATCAACTCTGTAAATTTCTCTATCATGCATGCTGGAAAAAGAATTTCTCAAGTCCTCCCTCAAAGGGGTTTAAGACAGGGAGATCCCTTATCTCCCTACCTCTTCATTATTGTTTCAAATGTACTCTCTAAACTTATTGAACAAAAAGAACGACTTGGTGTTATTCAGGGAGTAAGAGTCTCCAGGCGAGGTCCTAGGGTGACACATAGTCTGTTTGCTGATGACTCAGTCTTCTTTATTCAAGCTGATGTTGACATGTGCAGAGAACTGAAACACATTTTTGATATTTACTGCTGTGCTTCTGGCCAACTTATAAATGTCAATAAATCCTGTTTATACTTCACTGCTAATACTCCTACTTTGCTAAAGGAAGAGATTGGTCACATTTTTCAGATTCCTTTGGTTGACATTCCGGGAAACTATTTGGGACTACCAATTGTTTGGGGAAAATCAAAAACCCAGGCGCTTAATTTTGTCACTGATAAAGTAAAGAAGAGAATTATGGGTTGGCAGAAAAAATTTCTATCGGAGGCAGGAAGAGAGGTACTCATTAAATCAGTTGCAAATTCCATTCCTGTTTATCCTATGTCTTGTTTTTTATTCCCAAAAAGGGTCTTTAATAAGCTAGACCAAATCATATATGCCTTTTGGTGGAATTCTTTTGAGCATCAACAAAAAGTCCACTGGACTGCTAAAAATAAAATGAAATTGGATAAGCTAGATGGAGGCCTGGGTTTCAAAGACTTTGAAGCCTTTAATCTTGCGCTTCTGGCTAAATTGGGATGGCGAATTTTGAATAATCCTAACCAATTGTGGGTTCAAATTTTGAAGGCTAAATACTTTCCTGATGGAGATTTCATGAATGCGAAAAAAGGAAAACGCGCATCCTGGTTGTGGTCTAGCATTATTGAAGGCCGAAAGGTGCTGAATGGTAATGTGTGCAAGAGTATAGGAAATGGACGTGGGACCCGTATCTGGGGTGATCATTGGCTGGCTGATATTCCGGGTAAGAAACTTCTCTCTGTTTGCCCTTTGGAACATATGAGAAACCTTACAGTGGCTGAATTATTGTCTCCTACTAGTTGGAATCTTTCTCTCATTGAAAATTACATTTCTGATTTTGAAAAAAGAGCCATCCTAAATACTGTTATAAGCTCTTCTAATAGAGATGATAAATGGTTGTGGACCGCGGGGAAAAGGTGCAATTATGTGGTAAAGGAAGGTTACAAGATCGCAAAAGTGAATGGCTCCCATCTTATGCGTAATGTACAGGGTCCTTCTAACAATCCTTTAAAGAATTTATGGAAAGAATTATGGAAGTTGAAGGTACCCAGCAAAATTAAAAATTTTCTTTGGAGGGTAATGCAAAATGCTATTCCAACCTTTGAAAATTTATGCAAAAAGAAAGCCAGTGTGTCGGATTTATGCCTTATTTGTAAGGAGAAAAGTGAGTCGTTGAAGCACTTATTTTTTGAATGTGATTGGGTGAAATTAACCTGGTTTGGAAGCCTCTTTACTTTTAATCTTGATGCTTATACTCCAGTGGACTTTGCTGACTGGTTTAATCATTGCCTCTGCTATCTGCAACTGTCTCATTGGCAAAAGGCTGTCCTGGCCTCTACTCTCTGGTCAATATGGAAGAGCAGAAACAGGTTCTTATATCAGAATGTCGCCATTGATCCTGTCTTTACCTTTAAACAAGCAGAGGAGTTGATTCAGGAATACTGGACTGCTAAAGGCTGGAATAATGCTACGGATGCTATTAATGAGGGGGATGAAAAGAAGAGTGAAGACAAAGCAAACTGGAGTTTGCCACATGATAATGCTCTCAAAATTAATGTGGACTGTGCACTAACACCAGATGAAGCTATTGCTGCTATAGCTTTTGTTGTCCGTGACTCTAATGGATGGGTGTTAGATGGAGCTTCTAGAATAATTGCTGCTGATTCAAGTTTGATGGCTGAAGGTGCTGCACTACAGTTGGCAATGAATTATGCATATGAGAATGACCTTGATGAGGTGATATTCGAATCAGATAACCAAAATCTGATTAATTGCTTGAACAACAATGCCCCTAGTCCAGGTTGGAGGAACTATGTTATCCTTGAGAATCTACAATTCTCAAGGAACCGTCTAAGGAGCCACTCGTGTAGTTGGATCCCGAGAGAGGCAAATTCTGTTGCTGACTGGGTAGCTAGAGCCTCTTTGGCTGGGTCTTGCCCGACTGATTGGGTAATGAGACCGCCACCTCTTTTGCGTAAACTTATAGAATCTGATTTATGCAAAGCCAAAACTAATGTAGGGTGATATTTATCTTGCTTTATGGTGTTCTCACATGACTTTGTACTGTTGATTTATTATGGAATGAATTATTGTTGGCAAAAAAAAAAAAAAAAACACCAGTACCTGTCATGAGATCGGTAATTTAATTTTTTTTAAATATATTTTTTTGCTAACTTTTAAATATCATGTTTAATAATTCCCCAATTTTTAAATACAGTATTATTATTTAAAATTGCTGAGGATATTTATGTTTTAAGCTATTATTTACCTTTTTTTTTTGCCAACTTTAAACTATTATTTACTGAACATTGGGGAATTATTATTTCTCTCAACATAATTAGAGTAATATATCAAGATATGTATATTTTACGTGACAAAACATCGGATAATACCATTAGAATTTCTAAATAACACAACATTTTGTGATGCCAAACATGGCACAAAAATAGACTTATCAGGGCTCATCGATCTGATCCCACTCGATGCGCTAATTTTTCCTGGGAACTGGAGGTGATGAACCAAACTGACGGATAAGACTTTTTTTTTTTTTTAATGTGTTAGAGATTTGTTAGATACATGAATCTAGATATATTAAATAAAAAATGTTTTAATTTTTATGTAAAATAAAAAAAATTATGTTGCACGCAAAGGAGGGATTACCCAAAATAAAAAAAATTGGAATTTTGTTTTTTTTTAATCTTCAGAATTTTATTAACTTTTTATGCCATGAGCCTTTTTTTTTAGAGCTGTTATTGGCATTCTCAAAAACAAAAGATATGGCCGTTAAGGCTTCTTAATGAAATCAATCTAACGTTTTAAAAAAGCCCAACCTCGACAGCCTGTCCATATTCTGGCCCATAAGAAAAAGAGACCGTCCATCATAAATCAACTGGATGGCCAAAAAAAAAACAAGGTAAAGCGGTGTAGCCACCGCTCCTCACCGATCCTTATATAAGGCACCGGCCGACTTCTCACCCAGACCGCGGTGAGGCGGGAATCCTTGTACGGTATATTTGATGGATAGTGTGCTTAATCAAGTCTTACCTTGAATTGGCGTATTTTAACCTTTCATGGTACTCCGCAGCGCACTGTTGCTTTTTATTAAAGCATCAATTCCGTTCTGCAGGTTATCCATAAATTCATGATTATTTTTTTTCCCCATTCCCAGGACAATACCACTGATTCTAGCAAACCAGTGGCTGACAAGTACAATGTTGAAGCTGCGGAAATCTTGGCGAACGAGGCTCAGGTTCGACCCATTTTCAAGTCCAAATTTCGTGTTTCTAACTATGATATCACTCTCACCCCCTGTGTGACGAAAGATTTACTCACTCGTCGTGTTCCTCTATTCAGCATTTACCAATTGCAGAGGCAACACCTATATACGAGCAACTTCTCACCTTGTTTCCGACAGCTGTGAGTGTTTTCATTTGGTGCTTCGATTGTGTTCCTTAGCTATAGTAACGCGTGATTTTATGTATTACTAATGTTTAACAAAGTTTGTTATTGGCACAGGCCAAGTTTTGGAAGCAATATGTGGAGGCACATATGGCTATAAATAATGATGATGCCACCAAACAGATTTTTAGTCGATGCTTGTTAATTTGTCTTCAAATTCCTCTCTGGTATGTCGCTTCTTTAGTCTGATGAGGCCAATGGATGATGGAGTCAACCTGCTTTCCAATCACTATTACTGTGACTGGTGTCAATATGTTGTATCACTCGTTTTTGTTAATATTGTTTTGAACGTTGATATTACATATGAATATGCTGTAAATATACACTATTGGCATCTAAAATATTTGTTTTTCAATTTTTCTTTCTTTGCCCCTTCACCTCTGCTCACCCTTCTCTATTCTTGGGAATTGAAAGGAATAGAAATAAATCTTACATTTCACTATGGAGATGTTGTCTTGTGAAGGGTGCTATGCTCCGAGGACTTTTCCACATACATATATTCTTTGAAACCATATAAATATAATAGCACAGTGTCTTTCATGATCATTAGAGGCATTCCTAAATATCCATTCTGATTGCTTTCATTGTAAACATGGATGAACGACCATCTTTTTATCTCTTTCTACTGGTATTATGTTAGTTTTACATTTCAACTTGCTTTTTTGTCTTGGCTTTGTAGGAGATGTTACATTCGTTTCATTAGAAAGGTTAATGACAAGAAAGGGGTAGAGGGTCAAGAAGAGACTAGAAAAGCTTTTGATTTTATGCTCAACTACGTTGGTAAATCTTTTCCCTCAATCGTACCATCCAGATTCTTATACGTCATTGCATAATATCTGTGGTTTTACTTTTTACTGATTGAGGAGTCTGTTAGGCATCTATCTGATGGAGAGGTCAACATGAAAGAATTAAGTGATGTAAAGTGTGAACTTAGTCAAGTTTCAGGGAGGGGAGTTTCAGGGAGGGGCTTCTGGGGAACTGGATGTCCTGAAGGTCACTAGCCCAGAATGTCTTGGCAGTTAGCATGTATGACATGAAGATAGAAGCAGATTATGTTGTGGCTTAAGAGTGACTTCATAATTGTTTTTTGCTGATCATATTTAAATAACCTAATTTTCTTATATGTTGGTTAATTTTTTGGGCATCATTTGGTGGATCTAGCAATGGTATATTTCAGTTTTTCCCCCACTAACTCAATTAATTCCTATTATTTACTGACAGGAGCAGACATAGCATCTGGCCCCGTATGGATGGAGTACATAGCCTTTTTAAAGTCATTGCCGGTTTGTGTAGTTGCTCTCATGTTCTGTGCAAAATAGAGAATAATGGCACAATTCATTATTAATTTAATTTATTTTTATTGACTTCATTTTTAGGCTCTAAACTCTCAAGAAGAGTCGCACCGGATGACTACTGTGCGGAAAGCATACCAAAAGGCCATTGTTACTCCTACACATCACATTGAACAGCTTTGGAAGGAATATGAAAATTTTGAAAATTCCGTTAGTCGTCAGTTGGTAATGTATTGGTCTCAGATATTCATACTTTATCTGAAATTATGGCTTACTTATACCTGAAGGTGTTATTCTGTGGTATTTAGTTAAGAATATACTGAAGGCACATAGTCTGATGGTAAAGGTATTTCGCAGGCTAAAGGGTTGATATCTGAGTATCAACCAAAATATACTAGTGCCAGGGCAGTATACAGGGAGCGGAAGAAATATGTTGAGGAGATTGATTGGAATATGCTTGCTGTACCACCAACTGGATCTGCCAAGGCAACTTTCTGCATCTTTGTGCGCTAATTCTCTTGAAAAGTTTTTTATCAGCCTGATTAAGCTGCCAAGAATAATGTTTTTCTGGAAAATGTGTTGTGTTAGAGGTACATATTTGTTAAATATGTTGATAAAACCAATCATGGATCTTCACTTAATTGCTTATGCTTTTTGGTTGGAGTAGTCCTTGATATGGCATAGAAGTCTCTAACGATCAAGTGTTCAAGCGTTTGATTCCTGTTGCCCCCTTCTTTCCTAATGTGTTGTGTTAGAGGACATATTTGTTAAATATATTGATAAAAGCAATCATGGATCGTGACTTAGTTGCTTATGCTTTTTGGGTGGAGTAGTCCTTGATATGGCATAGAAGTCTCTAATGATCAAGTGTTCAAGCGTTTGATTCCTGTTGCCCCCTTCTTTCCTAATGAAAATGAAGTTTTGGCTCAATATATGATGGGCTTGCGTCTATACCTAAAACCCAGTTAGACATTAGTGAAACCAATCACAGGTTTTCACTTAACAATTTATTGAACATTATGCTGTGATTCTTGACGGTATGTTTATTGAACATTATCTTGCGATTGTTTGTCATGACCAGTCGTAATTTTTTCTTTGATAGGAAGAAGGGCAGTGGATGGCATGGAAAAGACTGTTGGCTTTTGAAAAGTGAGAATTACACTGGTCTTTCTTAGTTTTATGGTTTTGTAATTCATTACTTATGCACTGTGGGGATGGGACATATAATTGATGCTGATTGTGTTTTTGCTACTTGAATTTATGTATTTGTGCATTCTTTTTTCCCCTTTCTGTTTTGGTGAAAACATGCATCTCTTGCATAAGTTGATACATCCATCAAAGATCTGGGGTGCTTAATAAGTTAATTTGGGATTTTATCACAAAAGGTATGAAAATAAAATAGGACGTAATGGTATAAAATTCCCTCTAAGTGTAGCTGACACAAAGGTAAAAAGGGAAGCAAAAAAAAAAAAAAGGTAAAACATGAGAGATTAAATATTCTATGCCTTTGTTTTGTGTACGCTAATAAAGGTTTTTTCCTCTGCTTTTTTATAATAGAGTATTTTATTTAGATGTAGAGCGAATAAAAGGTAGCATAAATTGCCTATTAAGCACAGATGACAGAAAGGGTTTTTTTTTTTTTTTTTGGGGGGGGGATTCTGTTTTTGAGATTGGCCATTCCGGTCCCTTTGCGTAGCCAGTTAATTTACCCCCTCAAACCATC